CCGATATTTGAAACCTTATTACAGAGTAAAATTGGATTCAGTACGTAAAACCTACGCCCAAAATCAATTTAAATATCAGAAGCTTAAAAGCAGCCTATTTAAGGCCTCACCACCGGCAAATTAATGTACTCTTCTTTACTGAATTAAACAATCTAAAATGTCATCAGGGCCAATCGTCCGCTGCAAACAAATTGCTGTGTTGACTTTTTGAATGATAAATAGTGCGGCAATCTATTACATCTCGTGTCCTGAACTTTTGCCCATACCGGTACTATTTCACTGAGAAGGCAGTAAGTGAAGACTATCTGTCTGGAAGTTCAAATGTAGAGTACACAAAATTCAGAGTAGAGCGCAAATTTAGGCGTCCCGCAGCTGATATTGCATTAGCCCCTATTTGATGGCAATCGGCATTAAAGGACGAAAGATTATTCCAAGCAAAGAGCAAATATCGCAACTTGACACTAAGTATGACACGATAAAAATATCACGAAAGGCAAGCACTGAAGCCAAGTGGTGGACCTGCGATATCGTTTTTTGAAGTGGTACTGCACATGTAATTAACACACGCACTTCAGCACTGATGATGTCAATGAAGCGCAGGTATTAACGCATACACTGTAAATAAATGCCGAGACTGAGTGCGTTCCTACCTAGGTACAAGATGAAAGAAAAAACACAGGCTATTCTGAAAGCAGAGGAGCAGAAAAAACGAGATACGTTTAGCACACAAGCGTAAATGAGTTTGGTAGAATTTATTTTTTCTGCGTCCACCCAGCAACAAGTTTTCAAAATCTAGGAGAATCCCAGATAAAGCAGACGGAAGAATTTCGCGGAACATGAAAGGTCTGTCGATCAGTCAATACGATGAGACTAGCACTTGAAAAGCTTGGGATTTTCGAATTCATTAGAGACAGAATTCCACTCTTGGCCCCTTGAGAAAGATGGGGCAGCAGCTTAGACTCGACCAACCGAATAAACAGCTCGACCAGTTTAACTGCTTATCGTACACTGCTGACAAGACAGCAAAGAAATATGAGTAAAAGAAGACGGTGAGGAGAAGAATAGGACTAAGATTGCGGGAAAAAATCGGAATTGAGGTGATTCAACGACGCTAGTAAGTGTGCAAATATGTAGAACCTAACATAAAATAAAATAGCCTACTTCTCCATCAGATCAGATGGCTCAGCTCTACCCTACGGAAAGATCACAGTTAGGCCTCTTATTGCATGTCAGATTTATTTAGTCCTTTAACTGGCCTCCACTTATGTATACAAAGTATACAAGTAATGGAAGTGTTGTGAACTAATAACAAGGGGAATAGGAAGAGCAATAAAGAAAATCTTGCGGAACTGGCAAAAATCGCACGATTATTTTTCTATTAGAGTTACCAGCTTACTAGAAAACAACCACGCATCTCCTTCATCGGAAATAGTTAGAAACAAGACCGCTTGCCATAAAACCTCACAGTCTGAAAATGGGAAACGCACTCGGTAGATGCAAGCAGAATTGTCAAACTCAAGGATTAGGCCTACTGCTGCTTATCAGATGCATTGCATGGATATCAAGCAACTTGTGGCATAAAAATAATCTGCCGCGGCATGAAGAGCTTTGCAAAAAGTATACTACGAGCAATTGTCAAGAGAGTACAAGCTTAAGGCGACCCTAGAAAATGCTTAGAGGGGGCACGTCCCCGAGTGACCTTCAATATGCACTGTCAATCTCTTGTGCCGGCTTACATGGCACATTTCAAAAACGTTAATGAACGTAAGGAATAGCTCCAACATGTTGTTAAATAAACTCACGCTGACCAGGTTGTGTTAGCACGCGGAGGGAGGACGACGAGGCTGTATCCGAGGTGGCGATTCCACTTTGACTGGGTGAGATATTCAGCTGGTTGCCACCCACTTGTCTTGCTGGGATAATAATGTAGGTTGGAGCTTGCTGATTTGACTGTAGTTGGTAAGGTTGTAAGGGCACGGGAGTTCCAGCTGTTCCCGAGCTCACAACTTTGGTACTGGTTTGGTAAGAATTGGCAGCTGAAACTGTTGTTTGTAATTGCTGTTGGTAGGGCACGACGACCACCTTGGAGACCGGAGGCAGTGTTGATGCAGTCGCGCCGTGGCTTGGTTCGGTAGCGGTACTTGAGGCCTGGGGTATCTATAAAAGGAGGCAACAAACATAAACGATATGTAATGTAGAGGAAACCTCGACAATAGGAAGGGTGCGGGCTTAAATAACAACTAATCATCACATACCACAGAGTTGGAGGACTGGTCATTTTGAGGATCGAACACTTCAGAACCA